GAGGGAGGGGTGGGTTGGGGAAATATCACGTAAAATGAGAGCTAAAGTTCAGCCCGGAGCTTCTTCCCTCCTCCCCCACGCCCGCGAACCCGCTTTTATTTTTCAATCAGCTAAGATTTAATTAGGAGCCCCCAGGCCGGACGATCTGATATTTTCTCATTAGTTTCCCGTCAGTAATCTTGAGTGTTAGATTGGCTTAAAGGTTGTCAACATTTGACCAATTTTATTTAAGGCAAAGAAATCACGCCTTATAGCTCCGGGACCCGACATCGGGGAAAAAAAAAAAAAAAAAAAAAAAAAACAGAGAAGGAACAAGCTATTCCACACACAGCAATAAGCATCACAAAGGTCAACGCGGACCTTTCTGGCAACATACCCCTCCTCAGCTGCGCCGTGCCATTCTCCTCTCCCGCTCCGCATGGATTCCAGAGTTAGACTCATCACCAGTCACTCCTTGTGGGGCCTAAAAAAACCAAGCAACACAAAACCACCATTGAACAGGCAAGAAGTCACCAGCCCCAGGCACCTCCTCTCTACTTCCCGGCTCACCTCGTCACTCATCCCGTTCCAAAGGCAGCGGGGCGCGCAGGCGGCCGCCTGGGCGCCCCGTGCGCCGCGCGTTGAATCCCGCGTGGGGCGCGCAAGTTAAGAAGGAAGCGCAACCCCTCGCCCTTCCTTTTTGCCCGGGCGGGAGCGTTAATATAAACTGTTTACCAAACCGCCTCTTTCTTTTCTTTACGCGCTGCTGATGGCGCGGAGGGGGCAGGATAAGGGGGAGAAACACGCGTTTGTAGCAGCCCCCGGCAGCGCGGAGGGTGTGTGTGTGTGGATGAAGGGAGGGGGAAGGGGGGTGTTGCGCTCAGGGGGCCCCGCCACCCAAACTTGGTTTGCCCCCGCACGGCCCCGCAAAGGGCAATAAAAGGCACCGCCAAATGAGCGTCACATGGCCCCGGTAATTTATCGGTAGGCCCGCGGTTTGGTGTTGATTGAAAACACGACCGAAGGGGGGGGAAATAAAAAAAAAAAAAAAAAAAAAAGAGCTGACTGCTCAAAGAATGAGAACAAGTCCGCACCACATTTAAAGTTTGCTTAAGCTCTGCTCACCACAGCCGCTGGAAAATAGCAATGCATAATGAATTAGTCACCCAAAGTTATCATTTCTACTAATTTGTCTTCTATGTGAACAGAAGCACTAGAAAGATTTTTAACTGCTCCCCCTGCCCCCTTACAACAGTCCTAATAGCACGCTGCTAGCTACAGGATAAACAGAAAGGCGTGATTCCTGCCCCAAAGGGTCCGCTACTACTTTTTACTGGTAAAAATTGTTGTGGTCTGGAGAACAGAGGTTACCTCCTCAAAATACAAAAGAGCTAAAAATAGTTTAGACCTCCTCCTAAAAAAAAAATAAAAAAAAAATCACCCGATCTGCTGAGATTCCCTCCCATACTCCCCCCTCCAAAGACTTTTTCCCCCCTCAGAGAGCACAGGCTGTTCCGCGCCTTCCTCTGCCGTCCTGCGCGCACACACGCGTGTCGGGCCGCCGGCCCCGCACCCAGCCCGCCCCGCTGCTCGCCGAGGGGCTTCTGCTCGCCGGCGGCTCCCAGGAGGAGAGGGGGACCGGGCCGGGGCCGCAGGGAGCGCTGCTGCCGTGGCCGGGACCGGTCAAACGGGGGGACCCCCCCATCCGCCCCGGCCGGGGCAGCGCCGGGGGCGAGCGGCGGAGGCAAGAGCTCCGGAGCCGCCGGTACGGGCATCAATCGCCCGCCTTTAGAGAGGCACCCCAGCCTCTCTGTACACCGGGGTACTGCAGTCACGTATTTACGGCTCTGAGCGTTATTTTGCCCATTTGAAAATAAAATAAAATAAATAAAATGAAAACCACCCAAACCCACTCACACCCGCGTCTGGTCCCGCCGGCTCAGGGCTGTGCTTAGGTAGAGTCCGGCCAAAAACAACGCTCCGCGGGAGATGCGCGTTGCCGGACCAAGCCAGCACTTGCTCCAATTTATTTTCTTTTAAAAAATGTGCGTGTAAGGGAAGGGGGGAGGGTGGAAGAGAACATTTATCAGAGTACCAGAAGATACCTTTCTTGAAACAAAGGCAAGGGGAATCATCTCAATTGCAAATCCATCAGGCAGAGACCGAATAACAATATTTATAGGAAGGCATTCAAAAATACAATGTGCTTAAATAACAACAACAAATGCTTACTACAGTTGCTACAGCGCAGCTTAATAAAAAATTAGCCTTACTGACAGTCTTGTCAACATCTTAAGTAAATTATCATAGCGATGGTCTTTGGAGAAGAGAACCCACACTCCTTGCTAAAACACCTCCTATCATTAATCTTAAACCACTTGAAGATTATGATGGAAAGAATGGGATCAGTAACCATTATCATCTCAAATTGCTGTTAAAAACTCCGCTGTTTATTTTTGCAACCAAAGCGAATGTATCTGGGAAATGCAGAAAAGGGAAGAAAGGAAAACACAAGAAAGGCAGAACAATTGAGGCGAATCCTGTTGCAACCTCGATGATAAACACATGGAAAAAGCTGTTACTGCTCTGTGGATTGCTGGAATTTGGGTAGACGTTAGAAAAATAAACAAAGAGATGGCTCCGCACCAGTTCTGTAAGCGCACCGGTACACTCAAGGAAAGGTAACTTCTTAAAATTAATTGTATTTTCCTGAATAATCGGTAATTGCCTTTATCTACATCGATCATTAAATAAAGATCAAAACTATTAAAACCGTACTTGCACCTTTCAGTGTTCATACGCGAAAATAAATTAATTTTGACCCTTTCTTGCTCGTATTTTTGTATGCATTGTGTGTTTTCCAATAACCGTCAGAAAAGTCTAATAGGTACAGTATAATTTTAAGAGGCTCCGACATACTCGAAACATTTGCTCAGAGTGAAACCTTTTCATAAGCGACCTGTGATTTTTATTGTAGCCTTTCCTTTTACAATATCATCCCTCTTTTATACGCATTTTACAGATGAAAAATAAAATTCTTTTTTTTTTTTCCCCTTTTTCTTTCTGTTTCCCCCCCTTGTTTCAAACTACTTCCAGGATTTGGCAGAGAAGGGAGAGCCTGCTGATTTAGGGACACCCGACCCGAAACGTTATCAACGGATCTTTACACCTTCAATGAATCCCCAAATCGCTGCGAGCCGGGCACACGCCTGAATACAATCAAAACGCGGGTTTTTGAAGTTATTCTTTCAAAACGCAGAAGTTTGGATGAAGCCTTGAAACAGCACCGTGCACCCCGGCCGGCCCTCCTCTCCCCCCCTCCCCTCCCCTCCTCGAAAGGGTGCCATTAAAGCGGGGCGATGCAAATTAAAAGAAACCAAACAATTATTTTCCCCCGAGCTGAGCTGCGTCTTCCTGTTGTTTCCGCCGTGATTCACGCCGGCAGCGGTGCGCCAGCGGCAGAGCCGCGCTGCTCTTCCCCCTCCGCAGAGGGGGGGACATGGAGGGGGGGGTCGCTCCCGCGGGCGGGCGGGGCGCTGCGCGGGGCGCGCAGGTATGCGCGGCGGGCGGCGGAGCGGGCGCGGGAGCGGGATCCGGATCCGCGCTGCCCCGCTCCCCCGCCGCGGCCCCGCAGTGACCCCAGCCCGGGGCTGCGGAGAGGTGAGAGGGGACGCTGCGAGCCAGCGCAGACCTGGCCCTTTTAAAGCCACAGCTAATCAGTCCTTTACTAAATTAAAATATAGGAACCAGAGGGGAAGCAATTTCGTTGTAAAGAATTACCAGGCGCGCTCCCAGAACGAAATAGTTATTGAAATGAGGACGGCGCTCCCTGCAACGGGGAGATTTGTCACCCAGGAGCGGCTGGGCAAAGATAAACTATAAATTTATACGCAGGCTACGCGCACCCGATAGAGCTGCACGTGTGGGAGGTTGTGTATCACACGCAACGGTAAAATAAGGTTACCGAGTTGCTGAAAAACTTCAGCGCCATAAACTATCCGGCGGGATGATGGTTATAGGACACCAGGCACCGGGTGGTTAATTGCCCACCTAGCTAAAGGCTCGGGATTTCATTATAATAGGGGAAGAAATTAAAGTGGGGAAAAGTGATAAATTTCCCTGTTAATTCATTTGTCTTCGATTTCGAGTTATTCTTTATTCTCTGTAAGAAACAGGGAATTTACTGTGGTATAGAGGTGCACGTAAGTGTGTGCATAGGCACCGGACTCATATTCCATGTACGTGTGTAAAAGTGTGTGTGTAATCTGTGCACACAAACTGGCCCACAAACTGTGGAAAATGGTGACAGTTCCATTTTTCCTCTTTAATTAGGAAATATTCCTTGATTGTCTTGGCACCCATTACTTTTTAATAACTCCATGGAATCGGGAGAAGAAGAATAAGTGTCTGCCACAAATAATCTGCCATAAAGCAATTATTTTACTAGGTTAATATGCAATTGCAAGTGCAGCACAGTAACGGCCATGAAGGGAAAGCGAAAAAATAGAAAATAAAGGGTACTAGAGTAACGATCATATTTGACAGTGCATTTGCTTCAATGGGTCGCGGTGAGAAATCTCTAGCTTTGATAACACAGCTCTGTTACAGCCACATTACAAAGAAACTTTCCATTTTCATGTGTTTCAGGCAGCAAAATACTGGTTTTAGAAGACTGCGAGCCGGTCTCCTGCACGGTGATATAATTAATTTAGGTGCGGGGATCCCAGATCCCAGGGAGAAGGGAAATGACTGATTTGGCCAGAAAAGGCTTCCCTGACGCAGGCGGCGAGGAGCCGCCACCCAAGGCAGGTAAGCTGCCGCCTCCAACTATTTTTAACTGAACAAAAGACTGAGCAAACATCTGACGTCAGGGAGCAGCATCCCCGCGGGGGGGGGGCGGAGGGGAGCGGTGCGGGGCTGTCCCCCCCCCACTGCCCTCCCGCTGCCCAGCCCTGGGGTGGGGGGACACACACACAGACGACACCACACGACACCACACGACAGGACACGACAGGACACAGTCGTCCGCCGGCACCGTGTGTGTGTGTGCCGGGGGTGCCGGGGAGGTGACAAAGAGCAGGTAGGGCGCCCGCTGGGGAAGGTCGGCGGCGCTGAAGCTCCTGCTGAAGCTGGTCTGGAACTTCTGCCTGTCTCCTGACAAAGCGGAGGTTGCTTCTTCCCCCCCCGGGGAGGTTGCTGTGTGTACCTGCGGGCGCGGGGGCCGTGCGGGGACAGCCCCGCGGTGGGCTGGGGGTGACACCCCCCCCAGAGCCTCCCGCATCGCCCCGCACCCAACTTCTGGCCCCGACGGGAGCGTGAACCAAGACGGGAGTCAGCGTGAAGTTCCGCCGTCCGGGGGAGCGCTGGGCTGCCCTGACCGGGGCGGGGGGGTGTGTGTGTGGGGTGTGTGTGTGTGAAGGCGACCGGCCACCCTTCCATGCCCCCCTGCTCCCTGCAACAGAGGAGGGGTCCTCCGCGTCCCCCTGCCTCCCCCGGGAGCTCAGGGGTACGCTGCGGCGCTGACCCCCGCCTCTTTCCAATGGCCGTCAACTTTAGGGATCCTCGAGCGGGCCACCTCCTCCCTCGGCTTGAAACACTCATCTCTCCTCTTCCTCA